TACAGGTGTGTGCACTGCGATCAAGCTGAGCCCTTCCTTTCCAAAACAATGATACCTGAAACCACAAACAAACCTATAACCACGAATCTTAGTGAGTTCCCCAGAGCATACCATACACACAATCCACATATCACATATCATATCATGTTAGCTATAAAAGCTACCTCTAACACATAATACATATCAGTTAGCTATAAAAGCTACCTCTATCACATATCAATCAGCAATAAAAGCTATCTCTACCATTAGCCATAAGGCTATCTCTGCACTTAGTCATAAAGGCTATCTCTACCATTAGCCGTAAAGGCTATCTCCACCATTAGCCATAAAGGCTATCTCTACCATTAGCCACAAAGGTTATCTCTACCCTTAGCCATAAAGGCTATCTCTACCATTAACGGTAAAGGCTATCTCTACCATATATCGCTACATAAATATGCCACACACCTCTATACAACAAGTATACCATCTATCATAAAATGGGCCGGCCTTGGTGCCTTAGACCCATTGGTATAGTGAGAAGACTCACCACGCAATGTAGAAGCTTCCCGCATGAATTCCTTAGTTGTTGCCCGACCAGCTTCCCGAGCTGTCACTACCAATCAATATACCCAATTAGCAATTAGGTCTCATACCATAATCCTTAATTCATGCATGGGGTAAAATGACCATTCTACCCTTGCTCCAGTATGATCCCAAAACTAAGGCCCAATCCCAAAACAAAAGCCCGATACTATAATGTTCATAAATCATTTAATGGCACAATTTCCAAATTGGGTTTAAAACCATAATGGGCCTCCACAAGTAAATATCAATCCAAAAACTTGATGGCCCAACACAGCCCCAAAACACAAGGTCCATTGCTTGGTCCAACCCGAGGCCTAAAACACACCAACCCATAACTGATGAGTACATGGGGCGTACTCTTCTATACGCTAAGCGTACTGGCTAAATGGAGTGTATGTTGTGCGTACCTACATGTACGCCTGATGTACTCCTTTATTAAGCCACTTTTCCATTAAGTGCTTAACACTCTACTCCAGAAGCTACAATTACAGATCCAAGTCCTCTTCAACGTCTTAAACCATAAAGTTGCTTACTTGATGGCTTTGCACGACCAACATAAGCTCCAACTCCAAAAATGATAATCTACTTCCATGGAAATGGTCTTAACTCATGCATGATCCTATTAAGACCTCCAAGATGGCAACTTTCTGCCTTAGGGACTCATTTAACACTGAGAGTGGCAACTCTAAGCCTAAGAGTTAGATTTCAACCATAAAGTTTCATCCTTGGGACCAAAATGAACTAAAACTCACAATAGTAGATCTAAGAGATGAATGATCAAGATCAAAGCTTGATACCTTCATCAAGCTGATAATGAGTCCCAAATGCCAGATCCACAAGCTCCTCCTTGATTCCCATCTTTACAACAAATTCCATCTTCTTGAAATGCACCAAAAACCACCCAAAATGCACCCACAAAGCTCACAACACTCTTGGATGAAACTATCACTCGAAATTAGGGTTTCAGGCTCCGAGAATGAAAGGGAGGCGCACTCCCTCAGACTTAAGGTGCTTTATATAGTGAGCCAACCCTAAAAATTAGGGTTTTGGAGATCCTGGACGTACGTTGGGCGTACGTCTTTGGCACCCGTGTTTCCTTACCTAACACTACGTTGGGCGTAATCACCTGGATGCCGCCTGCATGCATGGGCTGAAATGCAAACTTTTCCATTCAAGGACTAATTCTACCAACAACTTCGAGGTACTATAACTCCTTCATTCTAAGTTCGTTTCCGATGAATTTTATATCCACAAAAAGGTGGCATGAAGCACTACGCTCTTAGCTACATCCCAAGCCTTAAAACTTTTCGAATAAAACCCGAGACCCATAAAAGACCGAATCGCCAGATTAAGTTTATGCCCCTGGTCCTCCGAAGACACAGTCGAACACTTTCAAAACCGGGTGTTACAGATAGATATTTATATAGTTACTATATACTTTGTATGGAATTTTTCCAAATAGTTTTAACAAAATTTTGAAATATTTAATTCACTTGTTTTGTTTGTTTGTATAGTTATAAGTAAAAATATCGGTATTAATAATAGATTAACATTTAAAAGTTGATTCAAAACATTCTTTGTAAAATTCCCATAAACTTGAAATGTATTGCCAAAGATCCAAGAGAATTGGATTTCGGATATCATTTGACCTTTGTCTAATGATGAAATACAAAATAATTTTTATGACAAATATATTGGCCCCAAGACGTGTCAGATTTACTTTAACAAATGGACCGTTCAAGGTTCGACCTTAAACTATGAGGTTGTGTCATAACTACCTCCATAAAGGACATCATCTCGGGTGGCATAGCTTAAGGAGATAAGTAATCATTGCTTGATTAATGATGAATCGAATTGTGGTTCGCATAAAATTTTGAATTATACCAAGGATTGTATTATAAAGTCCTATACCTTACACCATCAATAAGGTTTCAACATTTACTTTGAAATAGAATGTATACTGTCATGAATATGTAAATATGAGTTTTTAAAATCTTACATTAAATGTAATGACTTTAATCCATATTAAAGTAACATCGTCCACCAATTTTGGATATTGTCGATAATAAGCATATATATGTCAAGAACGTAGTCTTCATTTCCCTTGATGAAAGAAATATCCACAAACCAGTGGGAGCCTAATTAACCTTCAAATGGTTAAAAAATCAATTGAAACCAAACATTGGCACTAGTGTTTGATGATGTTATTGTTGGAATTATTAATGGTATGTATTATATTATAATTCCAAAATACTATAAACGATTCTTGTTTGTAGTCAAGACTTGTGTTCTTATAAAAAAGAATAATCGTAACTTGGAAGAGTACTATGTAAGATACCATAACTAAATTCAACAACTGTGTTTGAGTATGTTGTAGTTAGTGAAGTTACATGTAGTACCATGTGAATGCAAATGAGCCCACCTAGTATACTTTCACACTTACATATAGTGTGTATACTTAGGATTGCTGGGTACCTAAGAGTGATTTGGAAAAAGGAACTTTTGTGTAACACCAAGCTATTTGGCCTGATCAAGGTATGATTCGCACATTAGAATTAATTCACATGAAGTTTACATTAAACTTAGTAAGATTAGTTAATTTGATATATGAGCCGATACAATGTGACATTTAAAATGAAGTGATGATTATTTAATGGAGATCTTAGTATATGTAAGTAACAAACAGTATTCATTTAATTTATTTTTTATGTTTTACATTTTATGAATACTAATGCATTTAAAACCTCCACAATCACAATCGAGGCTTACTCTAAGAAATAAGTAACTTATTAAGACAAATGTGTGACGGTGGTAGATTATTTATAGTGATGAATATAGCATGATGATTCAACTAATATCCACATATAATGGTGATTATGTATTGGACTAACATATACTTGTTTTAGAGACATACCATGTGTAAATTATGTTTTGAACAAGCAAATGTTGCAACGGGGTGCAAGGGAGAGTCTATTAGACATATATATATATATATATATATATATATATATATATATATATATATATATATATATATATATATATATATATATATATATATATATATATATACTATCACAATATGTTAGTGACGTAATAGTTGCATAGATGCTATGTTTTTCTTGATAATAATATCATTTCCTAGTCATCAAATTGACAAATAACTGCATCTTGATCGATTGATGCTTCATATTAAGGGCAATAAACTTAGTTCCAAAAACCCGTTGAATAGGAAACTTATTATTCAGTTTCGTATACATATTTTGAAGGCCACTCATGTATATTGCAACTAAGCCAACACCATTTATTTCTCAAGGAACCCACCCTGTCACCAGCCAACTAATAATATCAAATTTTACATCCATTTTCTCTAGGGAAATTTTACTAAAGGCCAAGTTTGGGTTTTACATGTTCTTCCTCATTTTGAGTCGTCATTTTTGCCAAAGGGCTATCAATGATTTTAATGGATAATTTCCGTGACAATCGAAGCATCTGATCTCCATTCTGAGGCATTTTTAAATGAACATATTTTAGATTAATGTATTGTGGTTCCTTTCAAAAAGCTTGTCTACGATATCATGTATAAATACATTATTCACGTTAATGTAAAGGTATGAAAATTATTTCCAAAATTCTTAATTAGTAATCTTGCTATATAATCTCTACTAGCAAGAATGCCATATCTGCTTTACGAACCTGGTGGAATGTTTTTCCGGTTTATGTATCATCAATTGAGTTTATATTCCAACCTCCTAACAATACCCATACCCTTCGAAAGGTGAAGTCTGGAATCAATATTCTCCTCCTGGCTTTTGCTAGGCTTTTATGAAACCATAGAATTGAGATTCTGTTAAACCACTACTAGAAAATTGGTGCAATAGCTACCGTACAATTCGTAGCTATTCCGTAGCTATAAGCGGATAGCTACGGAATTGCTACGGAAAATTGGTTGTAGCATAATGGCCCGTGGTTAAATTATAGCTACGGATTAGCTACAGAATCGCTACGGAATAGCTACGGAATATTCCGTAGCTACTATAGCTACGGAATAACTACGGAATTAAATAGCTACGGATTTTCCTACGGAATAGTTACGACACTATATAACTACGGAATAGCTACGGAAGAAAATAGCTACGGAATAGCTACGGAATCGCTACGAAAGTAAATAACTACGGAAATCCGTAGCGATTCCGTAGCTAACTTCGTTTTATTTAAAAAAAAAATTAATTTAAAATTTTCCAATTTTTTGTCAAATACCACATTCAATTCACATTTGTCCCAAATACCATATTAAATACACCAAAAAACGTCCGTCATACCAAGTTTGACACATTCCAATTCATTATCCAAAATATCTTACAAAAGTAAGCACTACTTAACAAAACAAACAATATCAAATGTTTATAAACTAAATTGTTCCAAAATACTTATCAATTGTCCTCAGGTGGATTATCAGGGGGAGCACGGAGTTGATTTCCAGACATATTCATCATCCTCATAACCATTTCCATTTGTTCTTTCATTTGTTGTTGCTGTTGTTCCATGGTGGAAACTTGTGCACGCAACATATCAACCTAAAAAAAGGGCAACACTTGCAATAGTTAAACAATATTAGCAATGTACTTTAGTTTATTATATCAATATTATCAACATACTAATTAACGTTTAAACCATAACAACATACCTCTTGTTGTGTACTATCCGATTTGGTGGATTGGGAAGACGGTGTCCCAGTAATCACAAAATGTATATCTGATGCTCCTATGCCATAGATATCACCCTTTTTCTTTCCTTTTCTCCCAAGTTGAATTTCTTCCCATACCCTCGCATCATCTTTATGGTTTGAAGAGTCTTCTCCGTGTTTTTTGGCCATCTCCTGTAGATACATCTCCTACAAATTACCAAAAAAGTATCATTGTCATGTACAAAAATACTAAGACATCAAAATAGATAATAAATGATAAAAGATAAGTTACTTGTGCTTCTTTGGCAGTTAGTGAGCAATATTCGAGATTTTCATGATCTCCCGCAAAATATCTTTTTTTCGCCTCAGTTGTGCCATGCGTCTTCATGAAAACATCAAATTGTGTGGGTGGTTTACCCAACATCTTTTCCTACATAAAAATACAAAGTATAGTTGATGTAGTTAGTGTTAAAAAAATAAGATAATAAAATTTATAATTATGATACTTACTAAGTTGTTACGGTGCTCGTCAAATCCTATACTACCCGCGGTATGCCTAGCTGTCGACCCATTAGCATCTGCAACTTTGCGGTTCTGCTGAGCAATTTTTGAATTCTTTCTCCACTTATCTGTCGACCAATGCTGTGAAAAGAAAAAAAATATAAGGATACTAATACAATAAGAGATTAAAATTCAACAAAATAAATAATAAAGTATCATATCCATTACATCACACAAACGTCGCCACACATTCTCCGGTACGCGCCCAGGGCGGTAGTCATGCATCCCTTCGTAGTAGGTCCAATGACCTAAGGGGACGGGTTTCCCATCATTTCGTGCCATTTCCCCAGATTTAATCCTGATACGCTTCATCCGATCCCTGTATCTATCCTTGAGGACACACTTGAAGGCATCAAATATGTTACTATTCTCTAGTGAATTCCACCTGTACATGGTCTGTAAAAAAATAAAAAGTAAATCTAAAAATACAAAGTAAAAACAAATGAGTATAAGATACAATAATTTATATTTAATATATTGCCTTGAAACGCGAAAACATCTGCAAAAGGGCCTCATTAGGAATATCACTAAATCGTGGCCACGGATGATCCATATTCTCCCAATAGAGACTAATACACGTGCTGTGGATTTTCCTAGACCCAAACCTACATTGAAAAGAACTATATAAGTAGAATTTTAACATCAAAAATTAAAGTTTTAAAATATGAAAACACTAACTTTCTCCCTTTTCGGCTGATGAGGGGCAACGAAGACTTCTGAAAATCACTCGCATTCGAGTCGTTGCCGCCCGTAACACCTCTAGAGGTGGAGCCATGCGGCATCGGTGGCGTGTTCGGTGGCCGTGGCGTGTGCGGGGTCTGTGGCGACCGAAAGTTTGTCTGTGCATCTGCACCTTAAAATAGTACTCCTCAAATCCATCACGACCACCTGGCCTCAAAACCGTTTGTGGGGTCGGCAACTCAGCACCTGTATTTGGAAACTGAGGCGTATAACCCATTTGTGGGGATTGGAGCCTATAATCTGTCTGTATGAGTTGGGACATATGACCCAGCCCTCGAGCCTGATGGCGAAGAATCCCAGCCAAATCTGCTAAAGGATCAGCCATGTCGGTTTGTTCATTGATGGCACCCTGACTGTTGGAGCCTGCAACTCCTGTCACTATCGGCATATCAATCGGTATGAGTGATGTCCTATAACATGGCTTGTCGGTAGAATTAGGGGATAACCCTCCCCCTCCTATGCCCCACACTGCTAGAAGAAGTGTTGGTACTGTGGCCTTTATCCTTGCGTTGATTACCTGACATGCTGCATTTAATAGAACAAGAATGGTCAGATATATAATATAAGATTGATAAGTCATGACAAAACAAATGTTTAAAACAACCGGATATCCAAATCAAAATCATTAACAAAACAACGTTTAAACAGTACAACAGTCTTCAAAATGACAATGCTCCTAACATCAACAAAAGACAATGCTCCTAACATTCGTCCCCATCATCTTCGTCTTCAAATTCTTCTTCTGAATAATAAAACTCGTTTTCATCACCTCCGTCTTCAAAATCTTCCACTTCTTCGTCTTCCTCCTCAATTCTCTCATTCGCTTCATCAGATATTTGCTCATATGTATTTATAGTTGAGGCTAGGCATAGCGGTTCCACACGAGTTACAGTAAGGGGTGACTCAAACCGTTCTTCAACCTGAAAGACTTCATCTGCTTCCATTTCAGCTTCGGTGACTTCAAATACCCCTCTTGCTTTTGTTTTGATAACCGCCCATTTATCTTTTGTCTCATTTGACATTGAAGGGTATGGTGTATAAAATACTTGTTCAGCTTGTGATGCCAAACAAAAAGGATCGTCAGTTTGAAGTCGAGATTTGGGTTTGACATCGACCAACTTGTTTTTGTTGACTATTACACCGTCTTTGTTATCAAACCAAATACAATTAAACAGTACAACAGTCGAAGGTCCGCTGCTATAATACTCAATCTCTAAGATCTCTTGCAATATGCCGTAGTAGTCTGACTCTTGTTCGGCATTATACGTCTCCCCTCTAACACATACTCCAAAGTTTTTTGTCGCACGACCCTCGCCGTATTGTTGAGTGTGGAACTTATAACCATTTACAAAATACCCATTATGAAAATAAGCATGTCTCGATGGTTTCGTAGCTATAACTTCTAAGTGTCTAGCACTTCCATCGGGTGTCTTATACATTATCTACATTGAAAAACATACACACATTGTGTTGGTTAACGATGCATTAATAATAATCAATACGATTGAACTGGTTCTACTTACTCTGTCCTCAAACCATTCAGCAAAGTATTTATCTCTTAAATCAGAAACTGATTCATTTGGATTCGTTCTTATGACCATTTCATCAAACTCGATGATGTAAGGGTTAACTTCTTTACAATTAAGTAATATGTAAGTGTGCGCCTTGTGAAGGACTTTATCACTTAAGGGTTTTCGTTTTCCACTTTTTTCATATAATCTTCTTGATGGGACGACAAAGATGCTAAGTGGAGCTCCACCACTCGAAAACCTGTGACTTTGTGGTGCAAAATTCCGCGCTTCTCGATTATGGCGTGTCTCAATCGTCGGGTCAAAATATAACGAACAATAGGTAGCGAGTTCATTCACTAGATGTTCATTGACTATTGAACCCTCAACTCGTGCTTTGTTCCTGATTCTTCTTTTAATTATGCCCAGTTTCCTATATTATAATGTATGGACGATGTGTTAGGAATACCAGAAATGACTTTAAAAATACTATATATATTATTAAAATAGGGATATTACCTCTCGTATTGGTACATCCATCTGTAATGTACCGGACCACCAACAATAGCTTCATCAGCTAAGTGTATGACTAGGTGTTCCATGGAATCAAAGAAGCTAGGAGGGTATATTTGCTCCAACTTGCACATGGTCTGAACAATACAACGTTTCATATCGAACAAGTCCTGAAGATGCAACGTTTTTTAGCACAATACTCGAAAGTACATGGATATCTCTGATACGACCTCATATATCTTTGTTGGAACAAAACCTCTTATAGCTAGGGGAAGCAACCGTTGCATAAACACATGACATTCATGGCTTTTGAAACCATAAAAACTCTAATCTTTGGTGTTTACACAATTACCTATATTTGATGCATATCCGTCAGGAAATTTTAGTTCTTTCAACCGATCACATACTTTTTTAACTTGTTCCTTCGTCAATGTGTACTTTCCAGGGTTCTTCCTAGGCTTTCTATTGTTGTCCCTAATGGGGTTTAGTATAGGTCGGTCACATAGCATCTCAATATCCTCTCTTGCCTTCATATTGTCTTTGGACTTTGGGGTACCCATCGAAATATGAAACATATTTTCAAAAAAATTCTTCTCAACATGCATCAAATCGAGGTTGTGTCGGATCAACAGGTGACGCCAATATGGAAGCTCCCAAAAGATGCTCTTCTTTACCCAGTTATGTGTAATACCAAAACCTTTTGCTTTTATATAATTTGGACCATAGGGAGTACCGTTGTATACAGTGGGAAAATGTTGGATTTTCTCCCAAATATATTCTCCGGTTGGATATGGAACAGGCACTTCATGACCCTTCACTTTCTTGCCTTTTAAGAAATTAACTGTATCATTTCGGAATACGTGTCTTTCGGGTAGATGTTTTCTATGACAGTCAAACCAACACGGTTTTTGTCCGTTGGAAAGTCGAAATGATTCTGTTTGGTGCATGCAATACGGACAGGCTAAATTACCATGAGTGATCCATCCGGACAACATTGCATAAGCAGGGAAGTCACTAACTGTCCATAGAAGTACAACCTTCATCTGAAAATTGGTCTTTCGATGAGCGTCATAAGTTTCAATGCCATCTGTGAACAACATCTTCAACTCGTCCACCAAAGGTTGTAAAAAAACATCCAAATTCTGTCCGGGAATCTTCTTCCCAGGAATAATCAATGGAAGTTGTATGTATTGATGTTTAAAAGCCAACCAAGGGGGTATGTTGTAAACAGTGAGAAACACTGGCCAACACGAATTGGGAGTCATGTTTGAATTATTAGGACTAAACCCATCAGTGCACAACCCGAGACGTATGTTGCGCTTCTCATTTGCAAAATTAGGAAGTTTTCTGTCAAAATGATTCCATGCTTCACCTTCACTGGGATGTATCATCTTTTCTGGATCTACTAAATGATCTGCATGCCAAGTTAAATGTTTGGCCGTCTTCCTTGAATAGAAGAGCCTTTGGAGTCTCGGTCCAATCGGCATGTAAGTCATGACCAAATTAGGAACCTTTCTCCCTTTGGCTTTGTATCTATTTTCTCCACATACTGCACAATGATCCAATTCAGCAAACTGGCCCCTGAATAGCATGCAATGGTTTATACATACATGAATCCGTTCTGAAGGCAATTTTAGTGGCTTCAGCATTTTCTTGGTCTCGTAGAAGTTATTAGGAAGCTTCTCGCCAGTTGGTAGAATGTCTTTAACAATCGAAAGAAGTGTATCAAATGACGTGTCTGAAACATTAGATTGGGATTTCCAATCCAATAATCTAGTGGTGGCAGAGAGTGTGGAAGTTTTTGTACAAGCGTCTCATAAAGGCTCACTCGCTTGTTTCAAAACTTTATAAAAATTTTGGGCTTCATGATTTGGGTGTTGTGGTGTTTGTTGATAATACGAAGCCTCAGGTTGGTGCATGTTATCGATAACCATCTCCTCATATCTATGATAATCACTAAAATCGTTATTAATGTGTTGAACTGTTTCAATATTCGAACTTGGACCCACGTGTTGAGGTGAAATTGGGTTTGAACATTGACCTATCTCTAGTGTTGGATATTTTTCTCCATGTAAATACCATTGTGTATAACCATTCATGAAGCCTCGGTTAACAAGATGGCTAAAAACTAATTCTCTCGGAAGGTAATAAATATTTTTGCATTTCGCACACGGACATCTAATTTCAAAAACTTCCACCCCTTCCCTAATGATATGTTGGATGTTTGTTGCGTTCGCATAAGCAAAATCCAAAAACAAATTAACATAATGTGGCCATTGTGGATTAAACAAACGACGATTATCGAGTCTCTTTGTGTACATCCATTCTCTATTAGACAACATTTCGATCTAAAACTACATTTAGATATAAAAAATGTTAAAACTTTAAACTAAACATGAAGTAATAGTGTAACATCTCATTTAATCTAATATATATAACTAATGATACATAAAAAGCCCATAAAAATTATTAACATAATACACATACATAATACACATATATAACTAATGATACATATATAACATCCCATTTAATCAAACATTTTTAACAAATTTATAAAATTAGCCTAACATTTCAACAAAATTAACATTTTTAACAAATTAAAGTTTACAACATTTTTTATATATCACATTTCAACAAAATTAACATTTTTAACAAATTAAAGTTCACAACATTTTTTATATATCACATTTCAACAAAATTAACATTTTTAACAAATTAAAGTTCACAACATTTTTTATATATCACATTTCAACAAAATTAACATTTTTAACAAATTGAAATTAACCAAATATTCAACCAAGCTATGAAATTAACCAAATATTCAACCAAATTAAATCTAAATCCTTAAATTTGACATCACATTCAACAAAACTTATTAGCATTATCAATGAATAAAGCATCTAAATTGTATACATCAAGTAATTTCAAAAAAAAAAAAAAAACTAGGGTTTTACCTTTTAGGGAAGAATCGAGCAAAAGGCCGAGAGAGAGAAGGGAGGCGCGCCGGAGAAGAAAGTCGGCGACGGCAGCACCGGTCGGCGACGGCAACGCTGAGAGGGGGAAGAATCGTCGGCGATTGTTGGAACGAGAGGGGGGGGGGAGAGAAGTTTGGTTCTTTCTTTTCTGGAATCTGTTCGCTGAACTGAAGGGGTGAAGGGGAGGGGGGAATTAAATTCGTGGGATGAATATAAGGAAATAGAATGGATTTTAATTAAAAACAATAGCTACCGATTTGCTACGGCCCAGCTTCGGAATCTGCTACGGATTAGCTACGGACCAGTTTAGCGACGGTTTAGCTACCGATTAGCTACGGAATGTGCTTTCCGTTAGAATTCTGTAGCTAGTCCGTAGCTAATTCGCTATGGATTAGCCACGGATAATTCTTATTTTCAGTTTTTCGGGCACCAAACGTCGTTTTTTCCGCTTCGTTTTTTTCACACCTCTATTATACATGATTATCCATATTTTCACCAACTTATAGCTATTAATATCATTCATAAAGTTGTGTGCACATATGAGATCCATTACTCGTTTAATGGTTTAACACGCTTATGATCTACATTCACATATAAATACGCACAAACACGTATACACACACACATACACGTACACATATACCATAACTCTTTCATGTATGTAAATATACATATACAAAAATAAATTCATCACAATTTGGTGAAAAGTATAGTAATTATATTGTTAAAACTATTAAACGAATACTTGATCACGAAGGTCCACACGAATTTATGAATGCTATTAATATCTATAAGTTGGTGAAAGTATAGATAATCATGTATAGTAGAAGTGTAAAAAAACGAAGCGAAAAAAACGACGTTTGGTGCGCGAAAAATAGAAAATAAAAAAAATCCGTAGCTAATTAGCTACGGAGTTGCTACGGATTTTATTATTTTTGATTTTCCGGGCATTAAACATCGTTTTTTTCTCTTCGTTTTTTTCCCACCTCTATTATACACGATTATCTTTATTTTCAACAACTTATAGTCATTAATAGTGTTGATACAGTCGTTTGCACCTTCGAGATCCTTTATTCATTTAATGGTTTAATATTATATCCGTAGCTATTCCGTAGCCATTTTGTAGCTAAGTAGCTACGGAATAGCTACGGGTTAACATCCGTAACTATTCCGTAGCTATTCTGAAGCTAATTAGCTACAGAATGACTACGGAGTAGCATCCGTAGTGATGTCGTAGCTATCCCGTAGCTAATTAGCTACGGAATACCTACAGAATTAAATCCGTAGTTATGCCGTAGCTATTCCATAGCTATTCCGTTACTAAATTAGGGCGTCCAATTATGTAGCTAATCCGTAGCCATTCCGTAGCTAATTAGCTACGGAAATTTTCCGTAACTACTATCCGTAGGAAAACACCTTTTTTTTTTTTTCTAGTAGTGAACAACAAGATTTTAAATAGCTATATATTGGTGAGCAAGATTAAAGTCATGACATTTCAATGACTTAAAATTAGAGCTAAGAAAGTTCTAAATTTGTAATTCGAGCAACTAGAGTTTAAACCAATAATCTGAATGTACGTACGTAACAATGCTTTGTAATCCTAGGTAGCTTTTTCCTATCAATAAAATATTTTCTTGTAGTTAAAAAAAAGTTCTTGCTACATAATGCATTAACGGTTTTATTACTAGCTTCTCCCTATCTTTATGCTTTTAGTATATTGTCATTCAAAAAAATAAAAATTTAAAATGAATCCAAAAGCACGAATTGGAAAATAATCAGTGGCAAAACAATACTGACCATTCAGACTCACCATACTTTAGTGACGTAACTTCTCAAGAATCTACCAATAGGAATCATATACACCAACATTTGAAGGAACCATTTACACTTTACAATACTTTATTTTGTTTTTATATTTCATTCTATATATACCCTAGTAATGTTACTCGAATTAATATTTCCATATAAATACTTCAGTCGCTTACTAACAAGTCCAAAGCACCAACACACATTTATTTGGACAACTAGCCCTTTCCTTGAAGGATTTCTTTACAAATTCGTAAAGGATGATAGGGCTAGAGGATGTTTATAAAGTGGTCGCAGCCACAGTGCCCCTCTATGTTGCTTTACTTCTGGGCTATGGTTCTGTGAGGTGGTGGCATATTTTTACACACGAACAATCGAATGCTATTAACCGATTCGTATGCTTCTTCACCCTTCCCCTCTTCACTTTTGAGTTCACAGCCAACATCGACCCTTTCAATATGAACTATCGTTTCATAGGCGCTGACGCCATCTCCAAAGTTATCATTGTGATTGTTCTTGCATTTTGGGCGAGGTTTAGTGGAAAAGGAAGCTACTCTTGGTCCATAACAAGTTTCTCTCTATGTACTTTGACAAACTCTCTTGTTGTAGGAGTACCCTTGGTTAGGGCTATGTATGGTCAAGAATTTGTCAACCTTGTTGTACAGGGATCGGTTGTCCAAGCGATCGTTTGGCTCACTGCTCTCTTATTTGTGTTAGAATGGAGAAGATCAGCAACAACCGAGTGTTCTGTCAATGCAACTAATGAATCCAAAGATTTGGAAGGAAACCCAAAATTGGATGTTCGTAAAGATGAAGTTACTAGAGTATCATCGTATGTGTCGTTATTGAAAGTCGTCTCTTTGAAACTAGCTATGAACCCTAATTCGTATTCTTGTGTCATCGGCATCATTTGGGCAACCATATCGAACAGGTATATATATAGCGATAGATATATAGTATAAACTGCTCTTTTAGGTTCATGAAAACGTGACATATATTTGACCTTTTGATTATAATTCGTTAAATCTTTCATAAAAACATAGGAAAAGAGAGAAAACAATAATCTTGTAAACCCGAATCAACATAAATCAATATATTTGCATGAGAAGCCAAAAAAGTTACGTTATTTTGAACATGCATGAAGGTTTTAAGATAATTATTTTGTTCCTTCTTATTATAGGTTTAACTGGCCAATGCCAATCATGATTGAAGGTTCAGTATTGATCATGTCTAGGGCTGGAACAGGAACTGCAATGTTTAGCATGGGTAAAGAAAGATAAACTTTTACTTTCTTAAATCATATCGCTTTCGTAAATGTTACTAATTAATGAATGCATATGATTCTTCGGAAACATGATGCAGGTCTGTTCATGGCGCAGCAGGAGAAACTAGTTGCATGTGGTACGACGATGACGGTGATTGCTATTGTTCTCAAGTTTTTTGCCGGACCCGCAGCTATGGCTATCTGTTGCATCGCCGTCGGTTTGCATGGGGATGTTTTACGTGTTGCTATCATTCAGGTGAACAATCTCTTCGATTTTTAGAACGACGATCAATTGTAATAACAATCGGAATAAGCTGACGTAATCTTACTTTTCATGTCCTTCTAAAGGCTGCGTTACCTCAGTCTATCACCTCATTCATTTACGCAAAAGAATATGGATTGCATGCGGAAGTACTTAGTACTGCGTAAGTGATCGTTTTCTAAATATTATAATTATAATTATGTTTTAAGAAATATATGTGTTATACCGAGATTGTATATAGTATTAAATTTTAGATGTGTTTTATTTCAGGGTTGTCTTTGGCATGATTGTGACTCTCCCAATTTTGGTTGGCTTCTATGCTGCCTTGGAATTTCTACATTGATTCCTTCGTTTACAGCTTATGATCTAGTTCTATATGTAACTAATTAAAATATGAAGATTTTAATTAAGTCATTATTACTAGAAGTTTTTACATGCCTAAGATATCTATAAAAAAAATTCAGAAAGATGAAAGTCAATTTTAAAGAAAAAACACTTCGGTCATCAGTTAAGTGTTTTTTGATATTTAGTCGACCAATTATATTGTTCTTTCTAACAATGGAGCATTTAATTTGATGGAATTTGAATTCATTCTAAATGAGAATATAGTTTATATGCCTTATTCCTTTTGCCTATTCTCCCAATATCTGTAGTACTTTTCAGTATTTCCTTTAATTTGGAGTGCTTTTGTTATAGTTCATTATTACGATGTTGGTTTTTTTAAGTGTCAAATAAATTGATTCAAGTTGTAAGAAAATTATGTTTGATTGGCGCTTTCAAATATCTTGC